TTTTAAAAAGTGACACAAATCTTATATTCCGTGATTAAAATCAGAACCAATAAACTATTAGCCATCCATGCTAAACGCGAAAAGTCAGCATACATCTTACCGGTTTTTTACGACAGAAACATTGCTAAAGGACAAACCATAAGACCCAAGCAGTAATTGGATTAAGACGCTGCACATAAACCAAATTTACCTATTCTATTTAGACGGTGGAATAGTCTATTGATACAGTACTCAAGTTGCCAGAAATTATTTGCATAAAGATAGGGGTGTGCGATAGACTTACCTCCACGTGGTGCACCCTGGGCAACGTATATTCATACGGCTAAAAAGTCTATTGACTGGCAGTTGACTTCTCACTTCAAACTACCATCACCTCACTCAATGCCATATTCGACTATTTCCACAGTACTCCCCTCAACTTTGTTCTACCTTTGTGTTTGTCTCATACATCTTTGAAACACTCTTCTGTTCCCCCCATCTCGACTTTTTTCAATTTGATGTTCCTTCCCCTCTGTGAAGCCTGAAGTCAACTAAAGGGCTAGTGATAACCATCAAGACGCCTGCCATTTGATATAAATAAATAAATTTGCATAAAAATAAGTTGAGAGTTTTTTTTGGAACTAGTTTATTAGTCAGTTGGCACCAATTTTAAAATGGTTCTCTCTCTCTAAATGATCATCAGCCAACTTATAAAAATGTTAGTCAAAAATCCCTAGAATTGGAGTGTAGATTTCAATGCAACCAGTCCACTGAAATCGCATCACCCTAGTGATAATAACTGGTTCTAAGCAAGGTTTGCTTGGACGATTAATATTAATAATAAATCGTGTTATATTATTATAATGCTTTCAACTAGACTTCCCATGAGTGGAGGATATGCTACTTTCAGCATCAATAAATATTGCTTTCAATTATTGCAGGTTTTATTAAATAACTTATAAAATAAATAACCAAAATGAATCACGAAATGCTTAGATATAACCGGAAAGGAAATTGGAAATCATCTTCCACTTGTCCCTATTTGCAAAATTTTGCATACTCGTTAACAGGGACGTCTGCATTGACAACTCCATCGCCAAACGGAAAGACATTTGGAGGCGGGTTGGGCAAACATACAGAATTGGTGGTCACCAAAGACCACAGACGCTTTTCATTTGTAAGAATTGTTTTCGCATTTCTGGTCTTTGGAAGAAACACAACGGGTTTCTTAAGCATACGCCAGTAGTCCTTCTGTAGAAGTGCAAACAGTCGATTTAAACAAAATATTTCAATGGCAATATATATAAAGGGTTTAATTTAACTCAACTTCTACTCACATCAAACGTTGTTTCGGTTGGTTTTCCATTATCCAGTCTCTGATCGCTGAACTCATTTGAGATACCCTGAAAAGTGGATAGAGCGATTAGAATTTATTAAGAAACACTAAATGGAACTTGGAAGGTAAGTCTGCCTTACAAATGTCATCTTAGCGGTACAAAGCTCACAAATTTTGGACTTTCTTCTCGGTCCTAGGATAGGGCTGAGACAACGGGCGCAAATTTGACAAGTTAAGCAGTTATCCTTCCGGTTGTATCGGTAACAATTTCTAATCCGCTGCGAAGAGCTTTCTGAGCCTACGGAGCTGGTATCACTTTCTGAATTCGATTCTTCAAGTTCTCCCTTCAGGATGTCGGCAATCATTGTCCAAGCTTTTGGATGTCAGCTTTCTGCTTCGGATACCCACGTTTAAATCTAAACCAACCAGCGGTTTCTTTGCGTTTAACGAGTCGGCATACTTTTATACCATCGTGGTTTAATCACTCCATCTTATTGGTGGTATCCACGTTTCAGACATATGAACTTTTCAGTAAGTATGAGATCAAGCGAATGACAATAAATGTGTGTTGGATTAACTCACCATAACCTAGAGGTGTGTTCCACCCACCATTTCGCCATTTAAAGTGCTGCTTGGGCAATTTCACGAATTCCTGACTAATTCCCACTATGGCAAATGTGGAGAAAGTCGGACGTCTGAAATTGACTGGAATTCAATTAGAAATATAATGACATTTTCCAATATTCTGTTTGATATTTGGGTGGTTATTTTTTCGTTGATACGGTTACACTAGGACTAACTTGACCCTAAATATTAAGTTTCTATATGATTCCAAGACAATAAGCAACAAAATTATGGTTTGCTAAAAATTTTCTCCAAACAACTTTGCAAAATACTACGATAGTGTAATTTTGCTCCATGGAAAACATAGCCAAATTAGACAACGAATATCGTTAATATCAAGTGAGCTCTATTTGGCTTTGTTATTTCAACAACTTTTTCTTGACCATTGGAAATAATTGATGGATCGACGTGACACGACCGATCACCCAATTAGTTCCACTGTTCGACATCAATTGATCTAGGAACTTGAGGCGGACACAACGCTATCATGGTTGGATAAAGCAATCTCTTGCACACTAGGGCAGACTCAAGGTGCGGCCACGCTACTTGTCGCGTTGGGAGCAGGTGTGATCTTGAACCCAGAGACTCTCACCCAGACACCAATCAATAATCCCTGCATTATTTAACAAATCCTTTATTGTGTTTTAATGCCTAGGCTCTGTGGTAGACACACAGCCAAAATAAGCGTGTTCCACGCCGTATGTCTGCTTCTTCTTTATTATTGAGGGTAGCTTGCCAACGCCATTACTGAGGATAGGTAGAGAGGCTTATTCGTGTAGCTGTTCGCTGCAAACTAGAGGAATGAATCAAAATAAAATTTGGATGCAAAAATAGTTAAACTTTATAAATTGCACTGACTCCTTTGTGAGAAGGCGAACATACCAATACATTAATATCTCGATCAAAGCAAATATCTCACCGCGCTTATTAAACTGCTTTGACAATCCCGGTTGTCTGATCATCTTCCATGACATGTCTGGGTTTCTTCGTCAACTGAGAGTTTGCACATGGAGATCGATATGAGAAATGGCTTTTACAAGCGTTTGCACGTTGCATTAGCCCACATCTCATAGTTCAATTTAAATTTGCCCAGCTGCAGAATGAACTAAGTTAAAAAAATTGATAACTGAGCCCAAGTGCCCATCGTATGAAATTAGCTATTTTAATTTTGATATATATTTAATTTCCCAAGTCGTCTGTTGTTTATAAATATTCATTAAGTAGCAGTTCAAAATTATGCCAAGAATCACAATTTTTTAAATTAATTTGCAATTTATAAAATTTTGACCCCTAAATTTCAGGCAGTTATCTCAATTAATTAAGACAATATCAGACCAATCCATAAAAGGTGTGTGATTTGATCAAAACTCTGTGGTAATAGTTTCAAGCGTGATTTCATAGAAGTTAATTGATATAGTATAGGCGATCGATATATTAATTAATAAGATCGGTTTTGACATATTGAAGACATTCTGACGTTCCTGTAATTAGAAGATACACCATCTGTCACACCCTAAATAACCACTTCGGAACCCATAAATGTGCTATCCTTCTCACAATTGTGAATCACTTTTAATTTAAGTTCAATTGTTGTCCACTCTTACCATTGGTACCCAATCAAGGCCATTTGATGGCAATTAATTTTCACATAGGAAATGTTTAGTAATGGATAAAAATATCCTCTTAATTCTCAACGCAATTATGGGTATATCAACCCTAAAAATCAGTCTGTAAGTCAGAATGAAGGGTCAACCAATTTTGACAGGCAGTCTAGACAGTATAAGGTGGTGAAGCACGGTGTTCAGACAAGGCTCATCATTTCTCGTCTATTTCCACGGCGTTTCACTCGCATGAAAGCACCCAAATACAGTTACTGTTTTGGACAGGATAGACATTTTTCACACCACCAGTCATACCAACTAAGTTTACCTGTGTGTTATAAAGGATAAAGAGACTCCATGAGGTGAGTATTCTAATAGATCACGTGAAAGTTGAGGTCATCCACCACTTTAATATGTGTGTGTGCGTACCAAGGTGATAAATGTGGTCTAATTCCAGAAAAGTGTGCTGAGAATTGTCTGGACTTGAGGGCTGACTAAACTTCTACTCTAAATGAAGTATAATTTCCAAAAAATTTCAACAAAACCAGACAGAGTGAATAGAGCTCTTTTACCATCGATAACGATGCATACATTAATGGTAAAGAAGTTGTAATAGAGCACACACACACGCGCGCAATTACACATGCTCACACAGTCAATTTTCTAACGAGAATAAGTCTTTTTGAAAATAGACAACGGACAGGTGAATTTCTCGGACTTTGATAGCAATTTTTTGTTTTGAAGAGGGATGGTGATTAAAACGGTTATCACAACTTTTAGAACCAAGAGTTCATTCAGGCCAACCGTATCCCTAAAGCCAGGCCTAAAAGTAACGGCTAACCATCGAAAATCACAATTTTCAGATGATTAGAAAACAAGGGTGAGATTAAAGTTGAAGTGATTAAGCAACAAAAATTAAAATTGAGAGAGAAACCATAGAGAAAGGGAACAGATGGGGGGGGGGGA